CTTTTCGACGGTTAGTTATAAAATGAGTTACACCCTTCCCTATTATTTTGTTTCTTCTTGTTTCTCTTTTCCTTTTGCATTTCATCTATCCCCTGTTCGTTCACACATTCATTCATTCATTCATTCATTCATTCATTCACTCATTCATTCATTCATTCATTAAATCGCTCATTCACTCAATCACTCATTCATTCATTCATTCACTCATTCACTCATTCACTCATTCACTCATTCATTCATTTATTCATTCATTCATTCACTCACTCATTCACTCATTCATTCATTTATTCATTCATTCATTCATTCATTCACTCACTCATTCACTCATTCACTCATTCACTCATTCATTCATTCATTTATTCCTTCCTTCCAATTATCACCCATTCCCTTGCGGATTCGCTGTTCATTTTTTTTTCCCTCTTTCAACCCCTGAGACTATTTGCTCTTACGAAGGCCTAACACTGGAGACGTCAACTTAGAAACTCTTTACGGCGTTCAATATACATTATCACTTAGTTGATGAAACAAAATTATCTCACGTATGATGCGGGATCCTCGCAGTAGAGAGCGCTATTTATGCGATAGCGAAAATCAAACCTGAAAAAATCAGGCCTGTACGGGATTCGAACCACTGACCTCTGCGTTACTAGTGCAGCGCTCTACCAATTGAGCTAACAAGCCATCTGGGAGCAGACCGTAAAGTTGATTCGTAATAAACCCGTGATGATAAATCAGATGCGATGAATATATGAAGTTCATATATTTTGAACTGCGGTTATAGATACGTATGATGCACGATCCTCGCTGTAGAGACCGCTACTTATGCAATAACGAAAATCAGGCCTGTACAGGATTCGAACCACTGACCTCTGCGTTACTAGTGCAGCGCTCTACCTGTTGGGCTAACAAGCCAACTGGGAGCAGGCTGTAAAGTTGATTCGTAATAAACCCGTGATGATAAATCAGATACGATGAATATATGAAGTTCATATATTTTGAACTGCAGTTATAGATACGTATGATGCACGATCCTCGCAGTAGAGGCTAGAACCCGAGTTCATCGATGGAGACGCTTAATTGCAGATTGAATGTTTTTTCTATCTCTTTTTCAGCAAATTATGAAGGTATTGCTTTTAATCACATCAATCCTATTCGTCCCACTGACAATGGGAACAAACAACAACTTTTGTAAACATAGTAAGTACAGTTCTACAAGATCACTGCAAAATTCCCTATACCCTTGAAGAGAAGCAAATTTCAATCCGAAAAAAGACTCTTGATTTCGAAGCTTCTCAGCACTTCTGTGCCTCAGATAGAGTCTCTTTTGCCAGAAAGGCAAATGCCTATATATAATGTTTTTTTTTTTTTTTTGACAAGAGAGCCAATTTTGTCCAGAAATTCAACTTTGCGAGGGTGTAATACACGAGATTTTGGTCCCGAAAACGCACGCTACTTCCTGAAGGAATCAGAAACAAAATATGAATTCAAACGAACGCCAGAGGTTAAAATATAATAAATTTCAGATATACTGATATAATTTGTTACAAAAGTTTATAAGATAATAAAAAAAGATATCTACCCCGCTCCTAACTGGCGGCTTCATAGCTTACTAGAGAGAGGCACTGCTTTATTCTCTTTCGAAGCCTCGATTTTTATTTATTTTTCCCGAATGACCCAACCGTTGTTAACTTGTGAAGACCAATTCGTCCCTTAATACTTGTAGGTAGGTCAAAATTTTTATGGATAGCTTTTGAAATATGTATATAATATATAATTATTTCTTCAAGCTCCCGCTCCAGTGGTTCAGCTTAAAAGCTTCACTCTCACAAGCTCTTGTAGCGGTGCACCTGGGCAAAAACTCGACATTGATGTATCCAGTTCAAAGGTTCCCTTTTGTATGAAAGGCGTTTTTCACATCACTGGGAAAAATCCAGGCCAGTTTTCTCTTGTGTACGCGGCAAGTGTCTCTGGGAAAATCATGGGTTTCATCAATTACTACAAAGACCTCCCGCTTTGCAGCGATCCAGTCGGTGGGAAATCATGGTAAGTCTGCTGGACACTTGTTGAGCTGTAACGTGTTACAACATTGTTAGCAAAGTTTCCATTTTCTTGTTCATCTTCCAGCGAAAGACCGTTACGGTGACAGTTTCAGCATCGTGTCGTGTTCCAATTTTTTTCATTTTCACTTTTATTGACTCATTTAACGAAGAAGCTGAAAAGTACGAAGCGGTTAAGGAATCACAAGAGCGAAATGTACCCGAGGTTCGCTTTTAAATTTGCTTTGTCGTTTCACCCGCGACTCGTTGGAAATGTTCGTCGTCAGTTTACTGATAATGTTAAAGGGAAAAAATTACAGCGGTGAAGACAAAAATTTACAATTTCAGAAATTTACCATTTCAGAACAGGCGCCTGTGATGACAGAAAAACCTAAAAACCAAGAAAGTCATTGGTTTCTCTTAAAGACCTCCGGTGAAATAAATTACAACCTTTATTTTTTATTATTGCGACAAACTAGGGGATGCTTTTGCTTCTATAGATAACGCGATTCCAAACTTGTTTTCTTTCTTTGAAGTTACATGAGCGTTGACTGCCGTAAAGTGAAAGAGCTTCTTGGAGGTATTGAACAATATGTGGACAAGACGTCTTTTACCGTTCTTGCGTAATTCCTTTCTTAAATTAGAGCATTTCAACTGAGTATCGAAAGAAATCCCGGATTCCATCTGTTTTCCTTTACTTCGCCCTGAAATTGGTCCAGCAAACTTCCAATAGTTTGTCAATCGAACAGATGTAAAACTAAACCTAATCGCGAATCAGTCACCAACGTTTTCGCGCGCTTTAGGCAGCAGGCTTGTTTTACTTTCAATTTCATTGGCTCTTCAGAGTACTTTCCATTCTTCTCACTGACTGTTGCTATAAAGTTGGTTTTTTTTTCAAGATACTCAATCGAAATGTACTCTTTTGTTTGAATGTTTCCTTTTTTCGCCTGTTTAGTAGCTTGCTTGATAACATACTTGTCTCTTTGCTAACCAAGTCATTTGCTAGCTTCTTTTCTCACTTTTTAAATTACTTAGCTGCCTTACCAGTTGTTTGCTTGATCGTTCAGCTCAAATATATTGCTTTAATCATCTATCCTTTTTTTCATCTCCAGATCCAAACGTACCTGGTGTAAACCAAAAGTGCATCTTAGAAACTGGTGACGTAAGCTTTGTAATCATGACCAGTATGGATGGACCTATGCCGATTCCCTCATCTGTTCTAGTAAGCTATACCTTTGTAGAAAACTTAGAAGAAATTGAAACGAGTCACTCACCGTTCCTACATCTTAGATTATAGACGAGCCTCTTTATTTCCATTATATATATGAGCAATAATTTCTCAAAAAATTACACACGAGATTTCGAAAGGATATTCAAATGGGTTTCCTTCCGCTAGATCACCTCTCAGGAACCACTCATTATTTGTCGCTGGGGAGGGGGGGGGGAGAGTAAGCAGAGGACTCTTAGGAAGTCACATGGTTTTTAGAGGTAACGGAGCTGGGAACAGTCGTCGGAAACAAAGTATTACAGGAGAACTAAAGAAAATTGACTGCCAATTAAGTGCCAATTATCACAGTCAAATGAATTTTATCGTGTAGGATTTTGAATAATATGAGTTCTAGCCCCTAATGAATGCAAGCGTCCCTACAGGATCGGCCATTTTCTACCGCCGGGGGGAAGGGTGGGGTTGGGTGGATTGGAGGATTTTGGTTGAGTAACTATAAAACATACCTGATCCTCCCTCAAGGCTTAGTAGTAGTATTATGATCCCACCGGCATCCCCCCTCAATAGCATTCAATTTCTTATAGTGCTCTCTTTGTAACCTGTTGGCTACGACTCAGTCCCCTCCGTTTCCCCCCGAAAGCTATGTGATCCCCCAAAAATCCTCCAATCCCCCACCTCCACCCCCCTCACTCCCGCAGGCGTTAAATAGATACTGATCCCTGATTCTCTTATTTCCTTTGTTTTTAGGGCGCGTTATCTAATACCAGAGTAAGCTCTGAGATCGACGTTACAGACGTTCACCTGAAGAATGTTCACGTCAAGGTTGCATGTATCAGCCAAGACATGGAAGTTAAGTTAAAGGGTTAAGGCCTTAAAATTGTCAGAAGCTGTAGAGAGCACAGAGCTTTTGAAACAAAGACGTGTTGTTCCAATAATAAAAGCACTGACTTGAATTCTGTTCTTATGTTGTGCTAACTTATAAATACATGGAATCCATTCACCAGCCAAGGTAGCCGATCCCTGTCACTAAACTGTGACGCCAAATAGTGCGCGAAATAAACTAAGTTGTAGGGGGGGGCAAGGTTGAGAGTTCTCTTTTTTCCACCCGTTAATGGTTTTTTTTTTAGTAGACCGGTTTACGATCTTGAGTGCATGCTAAGTAATTAGGGCAAGCAAATCCAAAATGGCAGATACGCTAAACTACACTCTTTTGCTTGATCTGCATTCTTAATCAACATTGGCTTTGTTTCAGAACTTGTCGCGAACTTTAGTATTCACAGTTCAAGATAGAAGTCACAGCTACATTTTGAGCTCTGTATTTTATTGCCATCTCGCTCAAACGTCGTTGAAATTTCAATATCCCAGCAACACAATCATGGCCACGTACGTCAAAGATTTTTGATTTTTGTTCAGTGTGAATGTTGTATGCTATGGTTTCACTGGGCCTGCTCAAATTTTGAACAGGAATCAACATTTATTTTTAGATTTTGCGATGAACAAGCACTAGATAATGATTACAATTATAGAATGGAAGCAATATGACCTCAACAAACTACTAGCTCAATTGTTGGAGCGCCAGGCTCCAACAATTGAGGTCGAGGAGGTCGAGGGTTCAAGCCCCGGCCGGACCAACACTTATGGTCTTAAAATAACTGAGGAGAATTTGCTATCTTTCTATAATATCAAGAAATGGATAGATATTCTAGTCTTCTCTGATAAGGACGAATAAACCGTAGGCCCCGTCTCCTGCAGGGTTAGGGGTAGGAGACCNCAAAATAAATAGCTGCCATGAGTCTATGGGTGAAAGTGTGACCAGCATGGGAGCACTTAATCCCGAACCCTGGTTTATTAAACATTTTTTCTTAAGGTAACAGTTCTTAATTATTAATATGTGAGAAACTACAACATCATGTATTACAGCCAATAATGGCTAAAAAATAACATCAATCTATTGACATCGCTAGGAGTCAAATTATCAAAGTTTGTGTCCTTCGATGATGTTTTAACTGATATTAGAATGAAACGTAGATTAAAGTCTTTTCATCATATTGAATACTAGTGATTGTCAAGTGCTATCAATAGGGAAGCGTGGGAGGGAATTATTTATCCTTGTGATCATGATCTTCATTACTGTAATAAATCACTGAACCGAAGCAGGCATGCTAAGCACAGTTTGATTGACACAGAGAAAGAACAGCGCTAGCTGCGATTGGACAATAATTGGCTGCACGTGCAATCAATGCAAGCTTATCTGACTTTTGTGCTCTTATTATTACTAGCACTGAACAATTGTTTTCTCTTTACTTTGCACCTATATGCTAGTAGTTTCATCATTAACTATAATTTATAATTTATAAATTTGCTTTTTTCTCTGAAATCTAGCCATATTAGCAATGCTCTCCTCCTTCTTGGTCAACTTTCCTCAATATCTACTTCACGTTTGGCATATAGTCATTTTTTAAGTATTATGTAATAGGTAAACAACTAATTCATCGGCAGCTGCACCATTTTTTACATTTAACATGTAATATCACAGTTTCCCAAGAGCAATCGCGCGCTTCCTACACGTCATAAGCCTCACCCAATACGATCACGCCATTCTGACGTGACCATCCCAGATTAAGATCTTTTAACTCCGATAATTTGCGACACGAAGCCGGCAGCGAAAATCTTTTTTCGTTATAAATATTTTTTTTCTTTGGATATTAAGGACAAGGCAGCTCCCTCTCATATTTCTTAAGGTATCTATCTTTATTTTCTTCATACAAATATTAACACACACCTCCCCTCTTAATTCTAATTCCCTTTTCGTGACACTTCCGTTCAGTGTACGCGTACGTACACTTAAAATTTTTTTTTGGCTTTTCCACTCTTTTTTCAATTCAAATTTTTTTTTTTATTTATCTATTTATTTTTCTTTTAATTTAGATGAGTATTCTCTTCTGTATTAGCACCGCATTCTTTATTTCTCTACATAAGCATTCTCATCCGTATACCTCCGAAAATAATTTTTTAATTTGTTTACATAAGTTTTCTCTTCTATTATATCTGAAATTATCTTTATTTAGTATACCTAAGTATTTCCCTCTTTATTATCTCAAAAAAAATTTTTTTTTGCTTCGGAATAGGTTCCACTGACTTTCTACTTTCTCACTATAATTGTGTAGTTTTTTTCGCTTTCTTCAACAAGGACTAGGCACGAGGATGTCGGGCATTTACTTGGTACCAGGTTAGAAACATCCTCGCTCGGTTGTGCTTTGCCCCTGACGACTCACAACCATTAGTAGCCTTGGTGCCGATGCATCCTTCTCTCCTCACCTGGTCGGTTGATTTCCATTTCTCTCCATCTTTTGACAACTTTCATGGACACTTCATATCTTCTTTCACCACTCCTCAATCCAGCTCCTTATACTATAATATATAAAAGTCTTCTGTTCATATATGTATTTTATTAGCTCTTTACAGATCCTTCTTATTACACAAAGTTTCATATTATTGACCTTTATTCTCTTTATTCCCCCTCTAAAAACTAAAATAAACCCAGACCCTTACCCCACCCCACACTCCAAAAAATTTTAACATAACCCCTCACCAAAAACTCAGAGGAAAAGTGTTAACACTACCATGTTCTCTTCATTACTCATCTATAATTTAAAACGCCTAACACAGTTTTTTATCACATCCCCTGAAACCACCAATCAAGAAGGTAATAGGAATAAAGACTGCTCCTCTTCTACCTATGTGCTTCCCTTTCCTGAAGCCACCTGTCCATAAGAATGATTATAAAAGGAGAATACTTTCTTTTTATGAATATTCCTTTCTTCCTATCCTATCAATAACCCCTTTTCCCTTCCTACAGTCA